CCAATCCATCCTACACGCATCAATGTTCTTTCAAAATGACATTAATGGAATCATAACTGGACATGATTGTCCTACTCTAATGATAAGTTACAAACAGGACGATACATTATGCATGTCAAATCCCGACCAGGTTCCAATTTACAGCTTAAGCTCACACCGCGGACACAGAACGAGAGCTCACGAATTTCAATATGAGATGCGGCAGGTCGGCGGCCATATAGGACGCTAAGTCAGCGGCAGTAATTGAAAATGTAAATGGCAAATCTATTCCAACGGCGGTTCCCCCTAGTTACGGCCACGGTGGGAGCAGACTCGCTGGACATTATAATTAAAAATAAATGCACATTATATAATAATACCTAGAATACAGATCGATGAAGAGGATTTTTATTTAATATAAAAAAGGTGTATGTGTCTAAGGCACTCTCATTCAATCATCACTGAGTTTAGCCCCAGTGACGTGGTTGACAGAGAAGTGCAGGGATCACCTGGAGTCATGTTTTTCCCTCCACACTTTGGAGGAACAACTTTGGCTCAGAGATTTCTCACCTGATTGTAAATAGTGTATATAGGTATTTCTATCCTATTCCACTATTTACAACTACTCCTATTCCAATTCCTGTCCCAAAATCAGTCAGATACCAGCTAACCTTTTACGTAAAATTACATATTATTTATAATAAAATATTCACATATAGCTCATAAATTAAATACATATTATAGATCCCACTTTCTTTTTTTTCAACAGAAAGACAGATTTTACTGTTAAGAGGAATTTACATTTATTTTTTTCTGTATTTTTTATTGTTTCTAAAAGGGTTTATTTATATTTTACTATTCAACATAGTTTTAAGTTTTGTATATAGATTTTTTTATTTTATTTTGTATATAGTATGTATAACTAATATTTTTTTTTTACTGATTTATCTTTATCTTTACTTTTTATGTTTGTTTTTATTTAGCCAGATATAAAATTTTAATTTCTGTACTTTTTTGTTATTCTGAAGGGACTTCGTTCCAGAATAAAATTATTTTATTATATTATTTTATAAAATTATACTATTCAATTCTATTCTATTCTATAGGTATGTATGTATTCTTTTTTATTGATTTATTTTTAGGTTATTTTATTCTTATTCATTGTATATATATATATATATATATATATATATATATATATATATATATATATATATATATATATATAACGGAAACTTATTGAGGGTATAGTTTAACTTTAATAAATCAGAAAGGGCCGCTGTATTCTTATGTAATAAACACACATAGAAATTATACCTTTCAAGGGGTAAATAAATTAAAATCAATATGAAAAGGGCGAGAGGCTTAAAAGTTAATTTTCAGGATCTGAAATAATATTTCAAAAGTCCAACAGATATATTGGAGGATTACGTTAATTGAAATGTGACAAAACTTCTCTCTCGATATATCATTCCGAAATACAGACTGCTAATAATAAAAAAATTTATCATTCAACAATGAACTCTAGCTCAACAATTCACACGGTTTCGATTACTATCCTTCTGTCTTCTTTCTGTATATATATGTATATATTAATAGTTAATTTCGCCTGCGGCAATTATATTCGATATGAAACAAAAGTTCTATATTACAGCTTAACCAAAACTTAATGTTCATACTTCACAATAAAAGACAAACAATCAGAAAATATTAACGTTTCGATCTCTATTTTTAAGGCTGATAACTAACTCACAACTTTATATTTTGATCACAAATCACATTCTTATGGACTAAAAACGGTTTCACGACATAGTGCACGGTCTAATAAACAAATGTATAGAACGAATGACATTCTTGATGTGCCGCGGCGAAGGAGAAAATAAGTTCGATGAAAAACCTAGTGTGACAATAAAATTCTGCTGAATATCAGAAGTATGCATCGCTGGGTGCTGTCACTGATTGAATAAAAACTTATGACAATTGATACAAAGTATGGCAATTCAGTCCACTTTTGAAAATCCAGAAACGTATGATTCCGTTATGAAATCATATTTGAATCTATTTTGGATCATAATATTTTCCCGTGCTATATTGTTCTTCTGACATAAAACTATAAAACTAAAACGACATAAAACTATAAAACTAAATACGACAACGTTAATGAAAGCCGGTAAAGAACTAGGACTCGAAATAAACGTGGATAAAACAAAATATATGGTTAGCTGCAAAAATGGCGATACTACTGGGAATATCGATATAGATGGTAATATGTTTGAGCAGGTAGATAAGTATAGGTATCTAGGTTCTACGATAACTATAAAAAACAAAATTGAAGAAGAGATTAAGGTTAGACTGAAGGCGGGAAATGCTTTTTATTTTTCTGTGACAAAACTACTTAGTTCGCGCCTCTTGTCCCGGAACTTAAAAATTAGAATCTATAAAACAATTATCTTGCCTACAGTTCTTTATGGATGCGAAACTTGGCCGCTTACATTAAGGGATGAGCAGCGTCTTGTGGTTTTTGAAAATAAAGTATTGCGTAGAATATTTGGACCGAAGAAGGATGAGTTAACCGGAGAATTCAGACGGTTACACAACGCCGAATTGCGTGAACTGCATCCGGGTAATATAATTGAGGTAATTTCGTCGCGGCGAATCAAATGGACTTGTAAAGTTGTTGGGCTTAGTAACGGGAGAATTCCTAAAAGATTAATATTTGCTGTGCCGAATGGTAAGCGTCCGAGGGGTATACCGAAGCGAAGGTGGGAAGATTGCATTAAAGCCGATCTGAAGAGACTGGGTTTGGACGGCGAACGGTGGAGGGAGGTGTGTAATAAGCGATTGGTGGTCCGAACCTTCGGATTCGCTAAGCCTTTTATTATTATTATTATTTATTATATTGTTCTTGTATAGGTAAATGGAAATAAATGGAAATATTTTAACAGACAACACATTTTTCATTTTTTTTTTTTTTTAAATCTCTAGCCATGCATGCTATAGCTGTGGAGGCTGACAGCGATACACAATAAAGTGTCAAAAGAGTGAAAGATCAGACCCTCGTCACAGGAATATTTTATAACAGGATCAACTGAACCGGAAACGAGTTTAAACTGATTTTGTAGCAACTCGATTAACTGTAGCAGATTCAGTAAATCGATTCATTGAACTGCCGGTGTATGACACCTTTCCATTCAGCTGCGTTGTTTTCTTTGGTTTTCTTCATTAATTAAAATTAAATACTAAGTCTTCTTAACAAAATACTTCTTTTTTTTTTTTAAGAACAATGGACTGAGTAGGGACACGAAAAATATAACTGTTAAAATCTTAAGTTCTTATGGAATAGTTTTATGATGTTCAATATTTATCAGCGAAGACTTTATTTTATATAGATAAAATAAATTATTTATAATTTATTGAATATTATATGTCATGTCATGTTTTACTGCAAAAATTATCCTAGCATCCAATCATCTATAATTATAACACAAGACAATCATTTTTTTTTTAACCAGACCATCGACTACTATTGTCAAATCAGTTTATGTCATTATCCTTGTTTTGATTACCTTTACCAGTTGTATTTTATTTCAGTAAATAAATAAAATAAATAAATAAACACTATCAAATCAAGATAGTGCTGTGATGCCTGTGCGGAAAGTTCGGAGGTCATGTTGAGAACTAATATGACCGTTGTATGCATGCATACGGGGAAACGGGAGCAGGCGAGTAGCCATGTCAGAAATGTAGAATAGGTAGAGTAGTGATGCTACCACTAATCCCTGGGGGACTCCTGCGGTGTTAGGTTCATAGTGGAGGAGAACAGTGTTGATCAACGAAAATTAGCTTTGTAATAAACGACCTAATGATAATATTTTGATCAGGGTAAAGTATTATTTAATTTAAAGTATACTTTAAAATATGAAGTATCTATATAAGTATTTAAAGTTAAAGTTAAAGTTATTTAGGTATTACTTATTACATATATATATATATATATATATATATATATATATATATATATATATATATATATATATATATATATATAAAGGGAAAATCAGGATTAAGTTACTCAATACCCAGTGATTTCTAAACAAATGGAAGGTTATAGGCTGGCTGCCTGGAGTTAAGTTGGAAAAGTGCCAGTCTAGGTGTATTTATTATTCATAAGTGTTTACCCAAAGATTATGCCAGGATCTCGAGAAAATCTCTTAAAGTAAAATGAAGCAGGTAATATCGAAAAATTCAATTTTAGTGGGAAGAGAAAGATAAGTTATGGACTGGTTAAAGATTTTGATACGCATGATCATTAATACTCTTCAAGGAAGTTATATTATGTTTGAAGTGGTATAATCCATAGAAATGAAATTTCTCAAAAAGATAATAATAATACCATAAATTTATAATAATATAATACTATAAAAAAATATGTACACATATAACTAATCAACATAGAGGTAAAAAAATAAAGACAAAACCTGAATTGAGAATTTATCAGAAAAACATTAAAATATAAATGTTCCTTAAAGGAAAACTTCAGGTAAGGTATTCAAGGTTAACCATTTCTGATACTAAGGTAGCGAATAAAATTGTGATTAATCAGTTTCTAAGCTTTTTACATTATCTTTATGTTTCTGAATTTTTAATAATTTAATGTTAGCACTCATATCTATCGCGCAAAAGTGGCAAACTATAATTCAATAAAAAAAACAATAAAAAAACACCAAAAATTGAATGCATACATTAATGAAAATATGTGATAATACATAGACCTTTCATAAATATTGTTACAAGGAAATATATACAGATCTCAACCGAAAAATTATTTTTTTCAAAAACTTTATTAGAGAATAAACTGTATATCTAATAGAGAGTAAAGAAATAACAAATTACTCAAAATGTTCCCCTTTGCCTTGACACAGGCATTTAACCTCCGTGGCCAGTCATCAGTAGCAGGAAGCAGCACTTCTTGAGGAAAATGGTCAACTGCTCGGACCAGAGATTGTTTGAGACTTTCCAAGTTATGGTGTTCTCTGTGGCATGCCATCCTCTCCAGTTCGGACCAAAGCCGATAATCTAGTGGGTTGAGATGAGGGCTTCCTGAGGGTCAATCCGAGGCAGAGACGAACTCTGCAATGTTCTTTTGCAGCTACTGCTTGATCTGGCCTTGTGCGCTGGAGCGGAATCCTGATGGAAAACCTAATGACTTCAAGCAAACAGAGAATCATTTAGAGACTTGATGAAAGGTTCCAGTCCTGATAGTTTTAGCGACTATTTTAACTCCTTTTTCACAAAAATGAAGCTTCGTGGTACCATCAAAGCAAACTTCCCACCAAAACATCACTGAGGAAGGGTGATGACCTCTTTCTACTCTTCCATGGATTTCCTGGGCATCTTTGGAGCTGTGTAGGTAAGCACGATTATTTTAGCCAATAAATTTTTCTTCGATTGTAAAATTTTTCTCATCGCTAAACAGAATCTTTCGATGAAGACCATTGGTGTAACGGGCAAGGAGCACTTTGCATCTATCCACTCTTATTTTTTTAGAGAAGTGGTTAGCCTTTGTACGGTCATTCTTCAAAATGCTCGCATCCTAAGGTCAGTTTTTACCATGCGAGACATTGATCTGACAGAGATTCACACTTTCCGAGACATGATTTGTTGTTTTCGAATGCGATTTCTTCTGATTCGAGCAGCCACTGCTGTCACTGCATTTGCCGTTCTCACAGTGCGGGGACGGTCCTCACGGTCGAGGTGTGTCATATACAAATAGGGTCCCATTACATCTATTTATAGCGCGGTACACGAACATACGGCTGATACCTAAAGGTTTCAAAGTGTTTAAAATCTCTGACTTACATTTTCCAACTTTGTGTAAGGCGATCACAGCTATTAGATTTTCTTTATCACCCCACTCCATGTTGACTTAGCGAGAGAAAAATACAAACTAATTGAGATTATTATCCTGACATGTAAAGAAAATAACCTGATACAGGTAAGTATTATCTAAATATTACCCAAGGATGTAAATAAAGTTCAACTTTTGTAACAATATCTATGGCCGAACTAGGTAAGTATACCAAACTGATTAAAAATAAACTTTAACATTTTCAACACCAGTATTTCTTTTTGTACTCCAAATAAGCAATTATTAGCATTTTAAAAAAATGACAAAAATTAAGAAAAGGTGAAAGAATAATTAACCAATTATGTTAGTTCGATTTATTTAATTTAAAAAATATCTCTTGCAAATTGTATCTGTGGGATTCACTAATGTGGTAGTTCGATTATGTAGTTAAATCGACCTGATTCTTATCTTTCACATCTTTTTTTATGTTATAGATTTTTAGTAGTTTGTGACTAAAGGCCCTTATACGATTGCAGTTTATACAATGTTTATACTTCAACTTACATTAAAAAAAACAATTATATAAATGAAGATCATCTTTTGAAGCTAGTTCAAAGTTACTGAGAATTCTTATTATAATGTTTTAGACCAGATATAAAATTATATTATTTTACCCATAGATAGATCTTTTAAAAGTAGCAAATCTAACTTAAGAGAACTCTTAAGAGAATACTTTTAATCCAAATTTTAATTATTTTCATAATGGTATAAAGTAGGATTACCGTAGGTTTTGATTTATATATTTCACGGTTTTTCATTATATGGCATATTTTGCGGTTTTTTAATTCATGAAAATTCAGGCTCTTCTAATTTGGTACAGCGCAGTCTCTAGTATCTCTTTAATAATACCTCAAGGATATTCAATTTTGAAATTGGTCTGTTCTGCGAAAATTAATAAATTTTAGAAGAAGTTAGTCGGAGGTGCCGTCAAAAAATACTATATTATATAATAGTATATTTATTGCATAATAAATTTACTTTATTGCATAATAAATATATTATTATATAATATAGTATTTTTTGACGGCACCTCCGACTAACTTCTTCAAAAATTTGAATATCCTTAAGGTATTATTATAGAGATACTAGAGACTGCGCTGTACCAAATTAGAAGAGCCTGAATTTTCATGCATTAAAAAACCGCAAAATATGTCATATAATGAAAAACCGTGAAATATATACAGCAGTAAAACATACAGTCATGAGAAAGAAATTTCTAAATATACTTCCATAAAGCTAAGATTATACCAATGAGACCAAAAAGTTCTACACTAAAATTTCAATTTTTAACAGAACGACACAAGTAATTTTTTCATTTAAAATTATATTAAATATTGCCGTTTGTGAAGAAAGTATGAACTTTTAACTTGCTGTGATATTAAAAAGTGATGAGAAATAAAAATATCTTCCTTATAAAAAGTCAATTGTTGAAGAGAAACGTGATTATGTTGATTGAACGAATATACAATTTCAACATAAATTTTTTACTTCAACTTTTAATGTACATATTTTTTTCTTGATAACAAAACATTTTACAATTGCATGCATTTATCTTCAAAATTTCACTATTTTCATCTGGTTTAATTTTAAAATGCTGCGTAAACATATTGATATACAGCTTAAAAAAAAATGAAAGGATATATATATATATATATATATATATGAGATTGCGTAAAAATCTGGATGAAGCTAATTGCCTGGCAGGAGAAACCACAAAGAAACATGCTCCAATACTGTTACTTTAAGAGCAGCGATGTCCTAATCCAAACTAGATTTTGAAAATATCAATGAATTAAGACACATCCTTACAACAAACCCTTTACATTTTTATTTGTGGGGCATTCACCCGTCTTCACCACCTCCCCCCTCCCCTCACCCCTCTTCCACCTTCACCGAAGTCTGCGTTTATGAATGCTAGTTTCACAAACTAATATTTTAAAGGCCTTTCCGGCTATATTAAATTCACAGATTAAAAGTCCAGTAAACACTCACGATGTTTTTCATGAAATATTGGTGACAATGATGTTTTCCTATTTTATAATCGAAGTATTTGAGATAACTAAAAAAAGTATCTGAAAATCCAAATACCGTCATATAAAATTACTCATCCAGCATAAACAATGATCCATCTAATTTATTTGTGGTCAGTTTTGTTCATGTTATTGTTTTTCCTTTACTATTATTTCTTAGACATAAATTAATCATGCCGTATAAATGTTCTTTGTATTTTGGAAATTTATAATTTATACATATTTAATAAAACATTTCTCATTCATTCATTCAACATGTGAATAATAGAACGATAGGTGATATATTGATTGGAACTTACCTTGACAAGCTGGGTGACGGACGAGGGCCCGGGCTGATGGGAGATGGTAGACACAGTCCCCAACTGCTGCAGGGGCGGTGGGGATCCTTGGCGTGCCCCACAGGCGGCAGAGAGCCTGCAGGCGTAGTAATACATAGCCATCTCGGAGGCTCTGCCCTTCTGGGGGAGGCATCTAGCATCAATACATAACCTGAAACAAAGAAAAAGTAGTGCAGGTTAGGAAGGCTCTTCGGCGAGAAAGAACTTATAGGGGAGACTGAGGACGATTGCCATATTAGCGGAACTATAAGGAATAGCCGATAGATTTAACGGAGAAAAATGAGAAGCGAGTAAGTCTGAACTTATTTCAGAGCATAGTTTCAGCCATAAAAATGTATACATCATGAACCGAATGTTTGCTGATGACCAAGTAATCATAGCCCAGGATACAGAGACATTATATGTTCAGAAAGGTTGAGTTATGAAAAGTGGAGGTTGACTATTCACTTCATGAAAACAGAGCACCTTCGCACTTCATCTGAAAGCCAATTAAAAGCTGTATAAAATCTGTAGAGAAATTTAAATGCCTAGGATTAATATCTAATATAGAAGGTACATCCACAAATGATATTGCCAGAAGAATTGGTGAAGGAAGAAAGATCACAGCACTACCCAACAGTATCCTTTGGAGCTCGAATATACAGCCCAGTACAAAGCAGCTAATATACAAGGCTATATTCAAGTCAATTACGACATATGCCTCGGAGACATGGGTCATTAGTGCAAAACATCGAAACAGACTATTAGCAGAAGTGGTGGACTTTTGGAGAAGACGGTAAGAAAATGCAGAAGGGAAAGAATTCTGTAAATGATGCAGGTGAAAAAAAAGGGAAAGAATTCTGTAAATGATGGTGGTGAAAAAAAAAAACATTTTAGTAAATATTGAAAAGAAAATGTTATGCTGCTTTGGACATGTGAAAGGTATGATGCCTGAAAGATTGCCAAAGAAGTGTATGGAGCTAGAAGTAGAAGGGAGAAGGAAAAAGGGAAGACCAAGGGTAAAATGGAAAGAGGCGGTGGAAGAAAGCCTAGAGGGTCATGTCATCATACACTAGCGGATCCAGGATTTAATTTTCGGGGAGGAGGAAGCTTCAGCCCGGAAGATTTTTTTTTCATATATATAACGATAATTACTTTGGAAAAACAGAAAGAAACTAACTACCAATATGAAATGGTGTTTAAGTGATTCCTTAAGTCCTTTTAAATCTAATTACACGAACAATAATACTTTAAGAGGTATTTTTTAAAATAAATTTTCATAAATCATGGTTATATTTTACCATTTTTGGGAGAGGGGTCTTCAACACGAAAGTTCTCTCCTCCCCCGTAGATCCGCCCGTATTATCATAGAAGAACAAGCCTTGAATAGAGAAGAATGGAAAAAATATGTTAAAGAATATTAAGGACAATCAGAGTAGTGGAAAATATCTTTAAAAAAAAATAATAAAAAGCTTCGGCCATCGCGCGACAAACCCAAGTAGAGGCCATCATTTCTTTTTAACGGACAAAATTAAAAAGTTTTATTCGATTTATTTGATTAAATATTGTTGCATATGTACAGATATACAGTAATGATTGTTATAGCGTTCTAATTGAAACAATTTTAATTAAATATCACGGATTACTCTGTATACAGATAATTTTGTATCGCTATGGCGATTGTTTGTTTGTGTTGGAGAAGATTGTGACAGAAATATTTTTTTTATATTTTTGGCTATTAGATGCCCAGAATGCCCTTGAGTAAAGATCAAATGTTGATTCTTACAAAAATGTTTATTTTAGGAAGGCTTTTAACTCTGGGATTAAACCCCAGCCCTCTCCCCTGGCCCAAGAACACCTCGATATAGTCTAAAATTCGAAGTAGTGGTAGGAAAAAATATTAGTTTAAGTTCCTTTTTGTTTATGTATATTTTATAGTATTATTATTCTGCAGTTGATTTGTTTAAGTTTATGTTATTTATTATACATAATGAATGAATGAACTGTATCACTATTACTCATGTACTTCATTGTAAAAAAAATGCAATATTACTCAATAAAGATATTATATATTTGTATTAACCAATGCCTTTCCGTTATTACTTCTGTTATTTTATTATGTTATTGTTTTATTTATTTGTTTTTATTTATCCAGGTTATACTTTTTATCTTTCTGTGCACCAATATGAGTGTGTATATATATACAGTTCTTTTTTTTTTTTTTTCGATTACACTACAAGTAATCCTGAGTTTTATTTTTATTTCTCTTAATGTTTGCATATTATTATATAAATCACTGTAGATATGATTACATTATGTATTGTTATTATTTTATTAGTTAGCCAATTGTTTAAAAATTGTGTAGTTATGTATATAAATATTTAATTTCTTTCTTTTATTTCATCACAATAATAAATTATTTTGAGAAGATCTTATGTTCATTGAATTTTTTTTTTCTGTTTATTTTTTAGTGATGTTTAGTTTTTGGCCAGATTTTTATTTTCTTTTGCACTAATTTATCATTGTTATTCTAATGGACTTAATCCCAGAATAAAATTCAATTTTCTATTGTATTCTGTTCTATATTTATAAAAACAACCTTCTTTCATTATTTGGTTGCATATTATGTTAGTTTATATGGAATATTTACTAGTCACCTATAACTTTCATATTGTGTCGAAAGTATATCATTTCTTACAAATCTAGTTTTGGTTAAATGATAATACATAAAGCATTGAATATGTTGAAACCACTACATGTGTGGTTGTATGGAGGAAATGGATATAAATTCAGTATGATAAACTGATTAAGGAACAACTGCTTAATAATTCGAAAGGACCAACCCGAGAGACGTTACATTAGCCCCTGAGTGGCTTAGCGTATGATATAAAATTCCGTTTGATCGGATATCCATAATTGTGCGACCACCGACATAATTGAAGCGGCTTCCAGAGTATTCGGCCTTTCTTGTCAGTACCAGATATGGTGCCAGTGAAGACATCATATACGTATCATAAATAATAAATAGATCAATTACATTGATAATTATTAAATAATAATAATGAACGAGTAAAAATTCACCAAGATACAGAAAAAATGTGTTAAATTATGTCTCTAAAACTCAGGTTAAGAACGAAATAATCTGTCAGCATTTCTCTATTCCAGGCACTAATACGACAAAAAAAATTACCGTATCATTCTAGAAAAGTAAGGGCACACAGCTGAAGAAGGTTACAATCAAACAGTTGATCAGCACAAAAGAACACAAGAAAAACATTCATCTCTGATTCATGAAATCAGAAAAAATTCCATATGCAGGCTGCGTTTATTATTCTAAAAATAATCATAAAGTTGTATATAGATAATTGAGTAGAGTGCTATTCATAACCTTTCCGTTATATTACAAATAATGTCTTCACGATCCTTGAGAAACTCTTAAAAATAAAAGAAATAAAATACTTTTTTATTAATACCTACCAGAAATTCCGACAACCAGTGAATAATTTTCTGGAATGGTACTGAATCATATATCTATGATATCAGGGGGGAGGAGAGGGGAGAGGATAGGGGGGGGGAGTGAGAAGTGCTTTCTTCGATATTTCTTTCTATCTTGAATTTATCATACATATTTTAATTATTTATGTTTTCCGTAAATGTACTTTCTGATCTTTATAATAAATGCCCTTCATTGAGACTGAATATAATATCACTAAAAAATAAATAAATAAATTAAATTTAAATCAAAATTATTTATTTCTGTTGGCATTACAGACCATGTAGATATTTTGCCGCCTTAAGAAGCCTGCTCCATCTCTGCCAGTCTTAGGCTATATCTTTCTAGTTATCTGCAAGCAGCTCTGTTGATTCTATCTATTCATCTCCTATTTGGCCTTTCACGTTGTCTTTTGCCTTCTATTGAGGCATTTAAGTAGAGGCTTCCGGATGGATTTTTACGAGCTACATACCCCTCCCATCTTAACCTCCCCGTGCCTTCATATCATGGGATATTGATTGACCACTTTCTGTTAGCAGTTCTTCTTAGTCTCTGTTATCCATGTGTTAGTACTCTGATCCCAGATCGTTCCAGTTATCGTGCGGAGGACTTTTCTCTCAAATATTTCAATACTTTTTTTTAGGGCGCTAGTTAGTGTTCAGGACTCACAGTCATATATGAGAACTGGATTTATCATAGCATTTTAGAACCTTATTATAAGAAAATAATTTTTGAAAAATGAATTAAAACAGGAACGGAAAAAAAATGATTTACAGTTAGTTGAAATCATTCATTGAGCTTCTTTTTAGCATCCTAAGGGAGTGATCGTGACAAATGGCCAATACTTAAATGAATGAGTTATTCCGTGAAAAATCTTTTGTAGTGCATATGTGTGTGGTCATTAACCGTTGCTATGTTAAATTTATATAAAGTGATATTAGACATGCTTTCGGTACTGTTTGCAATATCATAATGTATAACAGTGGAGCGAATGCTGACCCCTGAGTAATTACTGGGAAGGTGAGTTTAATGGTAAAAAGTTTTAAATCTTGGCAAAATGAGAATAATTTGTGACAAAAAAATGACTGAAGGCTAAGGTAATACCTGAGATGGAATATCGTCTTAAACTAATGATAGAATATATATATCAATATTTTGTTTTAGATGATTACATCGCTATCTAATACATTTATTTTAAGCTGTTAGATTAATTTCGTGAAAAATAAAAACCGGCTACGATCTTCCAAATTTACCATTGAATTCATATCCAAGCAAAGTTTTAGATTATTCTTTTGTTTAAATTTTCAAAGCACGATGTGAAATCCCCCTCCCCGTAACTAGTTTTGTATTTGTTGGCTAGAGCGGCGTGCACTCTTAGTTGCGTTTTACAATCCGAGTTGGGGCAAATTGGTGCCGTATTCTGTGGGGAAATGAAATGGAGTGCGTGCCGTGTGTGGGGATGAGCCGCCCTGGAATCTTACTCTGGAAGTGGGCATTTCCTCCCCACTTTACTATATCCAGACCTTTTTCCCAAGTTTATCTTTAAAGATCCCAGCTATTCTTAAAATGTCATTTTTTGGTAAATGCAGATTTAAAATTTTTAATTAATTATTTTTAAAAAAACCCGATTTGATAATGACACGGAAACGAATAATCGTAATAGTTGACAGCAAACTCTCCGGTCAACAATTACATAGTATGTAGATATAATATTTATTTATTACACCTATATAGTAAACTAAACTATTTTTTTATTTATTGAGCAAAATAACATTTTATATATGAGCATTGAATATACTGAAGAAAAAGTACAGTAAAGCCTGCCTGAAAGTCGTCTTTCCAGACTTATCGTCGTTGAAGTGATTACACCTAATATCTTTTGGTTTAAAAATTAGTGCAATTTGGCAGAAAGATACGGGCAGGTTCGACAGGTCTTTGGAATGCTTTTCGTTATGGAAAGACCAGTTTGCAACAATACGGTCTGCAATCACTCAGCAACATTGGGAGCAGGGTAAATTAGCGGCATTGAATTCTGATCGATTTCTATCATATAGGATATTGACTCACGATCTTAAAATTTTGAAATTCGTAGATGGCTGTCGTTGAGATTTGACAAGGCGCGAGTTGAGTTGGTTGTTCAAGCTCAGGTGTGAACTACATTATTTGAATTACATCCAATGGCTTGACAGGGTATATTCAGATTGTCCACTCTGTAATCTACCAGTAAAGGAGGACCTATTCTATTTTCTGGCTGAGTGTTCAATGCTTAGTATAGAATTTCTTAGAACTAGCTCGGTTCGAAATGATATCCTAATTTCACTCCTTATTATTTATTTTTAGGTTATTTTATTCTTATTTATTGTATATATATTATTTTTCTGTATAATTTATTTTATTTATTGCACATAGAGTGTGAATGTGATCTGTGAACTCTATTATAAATGTCCTAGAGACAGATTGTAATATTTTTCAATAAATAATTTAAAAAAAAAAAAATCACTCCTAAATGCCCCCTCTATAAAGGAATGCCGTAAAATTGTCGATTTTGCTCGACATGCGTGGAAATAACTTTTTAATTTGCTACATCCAGCATAAACAATGATCCGTATAATTTATTTTTGGTCAGTTTTATTCATGTTATTGTTTATTATTTCCATTATTTTCCTTTATTATTATTTCTTAGACAAAAATTATTCAAAATATTTATTATTTTATATTGAGTTAGTTGTTTCATTATTTATCATTCATCCATGTATATGCAGTTATTATAAGGTCTTTATTTGTACTGTATATGTAAAACATAAAACATTTCCGGCAGAGTAATCATCAAATGTTCTTTGTATTTTGGAAATTAATAATTTATACATATTTAATAAAGCATTTCTCATTCATTCAAACTGCCTTTTTTTAATGTATTAAAAAGATATTTTTCATTTTGGGTTTGATTCACATTCTCATGTTAAACAACCCTATTATAATACGTACATTTACAAGTGCAAGTACAAGTGTGTGGATATTAATTAGCTGTCTTTAAGCTTAAGCGATTCATAAGGCCTAGAGAATTTATTTCCAACATGAGGAATTAAAAAGATCACTTTAGAGAACGGTATTAAGACATAAAAGTATTTTAGATTGATCTTAAAACTTTTCTCATATCAGGAACTAAACATTTTTAAAGCAGTATCGTCTTTAGAGTATAAATTGAAACGGGTTTATTGGAAAACTTTCCCGGAGCCAAGATCGAAGGGCCGAAAGATTCAGCTTTTCAAGAGGAAACTCCAACTGGATTTTAACGAGACCCGTTAGAGGAATCCAAATACATTTACAACTTCTAAAAGGTGTAATTTGTTAAAGGTTATGCAATGCAATAAGTTAAGGGCTAATAATTTATATCCTCACAACCTTAAATGGAATATGTATTCCAAAACTTTGGGTAGTGACTAATATTGAATGAAAATAGTAAGTTGGATCTTTGGGGCATAACTTCAAAACGTAAGGAGTATATCCGACCTCATTGCATACATGAAAACTTAAATTACATTAAGCTATCGATTCAATAGTCCTTCAAAATCACATCCACGGCCTTAAAAAATGGATCCACAAATGTAAAATCAAAATAAATAGCAAAAAATCAAGTCATGTTAGCTTTTCTTTGAGGAAGATTTCGTGTCCTGATGTGACAATATACAACCTGTCATCTTCATTTGTTTTGTTTTTTATTATTTATCTGATAATTTTAATTTGTATATACTACTTACTTCTTTTGTTCGTACATATTTTTATAGATGGTGTGGAGATAGATTACCGTGATAATAATATGAAAATTAGTTGGTTGGGGTTGCGATCAAATTAAATAGGTACTATATATTATAATAGTATTTTATTTGTTACGGAGATGTTTCGACCCACTTTGTAGGTCTTCATCAGGGACAAAACGAGACAAAATATAAATTGGTACAAAGTAAAAAATAAAGTGAATGTTTACCAAATGAATTATCAATAAATATTAAACAAATACCGGTTATATGATAAAGACATTAAAGAACTTGTGAGATGAAATCATTGATGTAGTGGATTATAGTTTAGTTAAAATATCAAGCATTATATATATATATATATATATATATATATATATATATATATATATATATATATATATATATATATATATATATATATATATATATATATATATAGATAAGATACGGAAAAAAAGGAATAATAAAGGTAAATTTAGTGTGTAAGTTAAAATGTAAACAAATTGTGATATGTTCTTATATAGAAATTTTTACATGGTCTTTTGTCTTCACAATTTAGCTCAGCTTTATTTTTTTTATCTTCTCTCTATATATAACTCTAGGCGTAACCAATAACATATTATTATAATACATAGTATTTAATTTTAGTACACCCCGGTTCAACTCCTCATATATTTTTCATTAATTACTTTATCTTCAACCTTTATTTCAAAAAAACTTGCACTCTACATCAACTTAGTAACACTCAATACAGAACATGTTTATAACAGGAAATTCTAAAAATACCTCAGCGAATATTTAAAGGAACCAAGAAGGCGGGACTTACTCAAGTATTTTTATTTTCCTCCCATCTCCTCTCCCTCATTCTCACAAACTCTTCCCCTTTATTATTCACTATATCAAGCCAAGTAGAATACTTGAATGGAGAATACACCTTCCTCGAGTTTTTCAAGCTGTATTTTTCAAATACAATTTTTAAATTGTTTCATCCAATGAATATATATAATATCATTTATTTATTTTTTTAAGTTCCATCTGATGCCAATAACGATTTAAAGTAAAAGAGGTCAAGAGAAATACGTTATAGAACGAATTATATCTGTTACATGATAAAAATTAGTCGTTTGCAAAACATCTCAATGAAATGCCAATTAAGTACAACTTTAAAGATCGATTAAATATATTTTTTTTAACTTTCATTTACCTATGTACGTATGTGTAAGTATGTAGCAAGTAAAAGTAAAATAAAATGTGTAGTAAGGGAAAGTATTGCAATCGTGAAAATTTTCGAATCTGAGTTTTCAATGGAAATACATGTTTTGAGGTCCCCTTATTCCAAATAACCAAGTCTCGCAAAATGGTCTGTGTGTTTTTTAAAAAAATGTTGACCTACAATAGGTGAACTATAAGGGCTGTCAAGTGCTGCAAAAAATAGAATAATATATTTTTTAATTTAACTGTATGTATACATATTTTTATTTGAATGTTACTTACGAGTAAGTTTATAAAAAGAAGTACGAAAAATTAAATTAAATGTTCAAGTGTCTCTTATTTTTACTTTCACTTACATATATATTTAATGTACAGGGTATCCCGTAAGTAGAGAAAAATATTGAAAAAGGTATAGCAAATCTCAAGATATACAAAAAAGTGAATATAAACATTTAATTTAAGTAATTAATAATTTCTTCGCTGTAAACTAGATACAATTTGCATCAAACGACTTACTTTTTTTTTTTTTTTTT